TTTTTAACAAGAGCCAGGTAATTACCATAACAACTGTATTATTGATTAGTATGTGGTACAAGCTGCAAAGACAATATCCAGTATACAAGATCAACCATTATAAATACAAAACATTTTACCAGGATTAATGACTTAGTTATGCAATAAATTATTAGCAAAATAAGAAAAACAAAACATAAAATCATGTGGGGACACAAAACTCCACATGGCTATATCCATTCCTGTGAAAAACTAGGACTATCCTAACTGCTTCTACAGGAATCGGGGAGGTAAGTATTAGCTAGGTGACGCTAATCAAATGCACTCTTTTAGCTGATCATCAGTGATCAGTACGTATGAGCAGCTCTATAAAAACAGAAGTTTTAGTGGTTTGCATGTCTGGACTATTTAGGTGTAGTCCAATCTTCCCAGGAGTTGACCTGTCAGCCAGTTCACCTAAAGAGCAGACCGTGCAATGCGCAGTGAAACTGCAAAAAAACATAAGAGCTGGATTTCAGACTCTACAGGACTCAGCTCGCATGTTAACTGTTAAAGTTCATGACAGTACAATTAGAAAAAGACTGAACATGTATGGCTTTTTGGAAGGCTTGCCAGGAAATAGCCTCTTCTCTGAAAAGAACATAGCAGCATGGCTTCCAACGTTGCATCTGAACAAACCACAAGACCCGTGGAACAATGTCCTTTGGACAGACAAGACCAAAGTGTAGATGGTTTGCCTCTAATCCACAGCAGCACATTTGGAGAAAACCAAACGCAGCATATCTGCACAAACATCTCACACCAACTGTCAATCACGGCGGTGGAGGAGTGAAGATTTGGGTTTGTTTTGCACCCACAGGACCTGAGCACATTGCTGTCATTGTGTCAACCATGAACACCTCGAGGGGTCAAAGTGTTCTAGAGTCAAACATGAAACAAGATGAGACAAAAACAATGTTTTATAGCACAGCAGCAAATCTACACCAGAATGGCAGCAAAAGAATAAAAAGTCCAGACCTCAACTTGATTGAAATGCTGTGGTGGGATCTCAAGAGAAGTGTGTGAGTAATGTCTTAAACATGTTGATTTACTTTGAGGCACCACTTTGGTCTTGTCTGTCTAGCTAGTGAGTGAACAACATGCACATTTCAAATTTCAACATGCAAAAGGCCTCAGACAAACAGCCACATATCCAAGGGAAAGTTGGGATTTGGAGATTATGTATCGGAATTTCAGGAGTGGGACCACGCCTCCAAACACGCTCTTTCCGGTTGTCATCTATATAAGTTCCCCCCAGTTCTGCAAACTGTTCATTCTCGTTTACGTGCCCCACCCTCCCTCCTTGTTCTCAATTCTATAACTTCTTCATTCCTATTTAGTACACGGGGATCTGCCAGGCCCGGGAGCCGTCGCCAGTCCCCTTCGAGGCCTTCCCCAAACCGCAGCTCAATTCATGTCCAAGCATTCACCTAATATCTACTAAAACGCCATCAAAACTAAAATGAGGACGTGGGCCCGGCTAGTGAAATATCTTTAAAGACCACAATGCACTGCTCATAACCTCAGCTAACCTCCTCTGAGAGTTTCGTCCAAAACAAAACCTTTCAAGCTTGACTTTTCTCTTTTTTGTAAATGTAAAGGTGTGAAATGCTGTTTTCACATCGCTAACATACCTGACATGACAGCGATGTCGAGTTCTGCCTTCCTGCTCTCTGTCAGTATTTCTTTAAAGGCAACTCTGCAATAAAAGATACATTTTACATCTCAAAAAGTGCCAACAGAAATTGTTTTGCAATGCTCTAAAATCAGCTCAGCGTGACTCAGGGAAAAAGCCTCTCAGTGCTGGACAGCGTCTCAGCAGTGAAGGAGAGAATTCATTGAATGATTGACTGTCTATGTAATGCCAAGGCAAAGAGATTGGCTGCTTCACGTCTGCCAATTTGTGGCTCCAGTTTACAGCTTGCCTGTTAGAGTACCTGCTAATACTCCCCACTTTCTGTTCTGTCCTTGAATGTCTGTTTGCCGGACTGTCTATCAAAGTCACTTTCTCCATCCTTGATACTTTTACTTTGCACGTCTCACTGTCTGTATCCAGGGCTGCTATCCTCCCGTTCACCATCAAACCTGCTGTATAACTGCTTAACCTTGGTTTTGTCCACACATAACGATCTAATAGGGAATCTGAAAAAGGATACTGACTATATATAATTTATTTTTAATTCATTTTTAAATCTTTATTTAGTTGCTGCTTATTGACTGTACAGCCATTAACATAATAATGAAATACTGGAATTTCAGTCACTAAAATGAATGCATAGACTTATAGGAGTGTCTGTACTGCACCTTTCCATTTGTCAAATATTTCCTTTAAAACATCTCCAAAACTTAAAAGTCAAGGTTATCATCGTTAACTAAAACTAAGCTACAAACTGAAACTAGATGTGAAAAAACATAAACATTTGAATGAACTTAAATGTCAAAATAAAAGTTGGACTTCTGAACTAAATTAAAGTGGGAATGATTTTATGAGAATGAAAACCTTTAAAATCAGTTCAACAATAGAAATTAAATCCTGGTGGATGCCAGTGCCTCACTTTGATGTAAATCTATGTTTCCCTTGGTTTAAGGGAAGTTGCATTTACACGTATGACTTAGCAATATGAGTAACATCTACATCTTCTCAAAGGTCACATCTCAAATCCCTCCGATGCAATGTTTGACTGGTGGGAGACCTCGACAGAGCTGAGATTTAAGGGCCCACGAAAACGCCGCTGATCCTCGAGATGTTTCCACAAGAGGGCAGTGACGGTTTTTTGCATGCAATGCAAATATCGTCCCACCACAGAGAAAGCCTGATGATGTGGAGCAAAGCCTCTCGAGAGGATAGAGGTTTCCCACATTAGTGTAACGTCAACTGTTGTTGCTGCTTGTATCTGTTCTCACAACCTACAGCCTTAAACAGAAGACTGAGGTGCGCTGATGTATGCGCCGTATGCTCTGAAGGCGTTAACAGGAAGACGGGAATTGTGTGAATATTTATAGAAGCTGTTTTTAATATCTAAAGAAATTAAGCAAAGAAACAAAAGAAACAAAAACTTTCTCAAAAACTAAGAAAGTGTTCGAGTGTTTACATTTAAGTCTCCATCCCGTTTGTTTCGTCAAATAGCAACTGCCCACATCCCCCCTCTACCCTGCCCCACACACACACACACACACACACACACTCACACCCACACACACACTCGTGGGACTTTTTTTTTTACACCACCGCTGCTAGAACCCTTTCGCAGCTCTCAAAAATAGAATGCAAATATCAGTAGTGTGCCATGTCTTAAAATGGCTTCAGCTGCTGAAACAGACAAAAAAAAACAGTGCTCACACACTGCACTGCACGTGTTCACAACACTGTGTGAGTGTAGTGCAGGAGCTGCTCTCACCCAGTGTGCTTAGACTGACACACACTGCCTCACACTGCACGCTGCTACAACTGAACGTGAGCAAGGCCACATGTAAAGATGCACCTAAAGCCACTGTAGGTCACGTCGGTAACAGGATTTTCCCACACAACAATCTCTAGGGTTTATAGAGTTTGCAGAGATGCTACACTGCTTCAAGCCGATAGGAAGGTGTTGTTACAACCAAGGTATGCAGAAGAGCATCTCTGAACGCACAGCACCTTTAACCTTGAAGCAGATGGGTTACAGCAGCAGAAGACCACACTGGGTGTCACTCCTCACAGCTAAGAACAGAAAACTGAGGCTACAATTCACACGGGTTCCCCAACATCAGACAACTTTGGGCCCCTTACTGTCAGTTGAGCATGGTTTGACTGTCACAGCCTTTTTGAATATTGCTGCTGACCATGTGACCTTTGTGACCACGCCACAAAGCTCAAATCATCTCAAACTGCTTTCTTGAACATAACAGTGAGTACAATGTACTCAAATGACCTCCACAGTCACCAGATCTCAGTTCAAGCAAGCACCTTTGGATGTGCAGCAACAGTGTGATGAAGAATTAACGCTGCACTGCAGGCACCAACGCAGCACTAGCAAGCTGTACCTAATGAAATGGCCAGTGAATGTATAATAGATTTCATCTCAACTGCAAAGGCGTTTCTGTAGTAAGAACAACAAGTCTTAAATCTCTTTTTTTATGTATCACATGTAACTTTTAAAGGTGCCCTGTGGGAGCTTCTCGTAGTTCATAAGCAGCCACCTTATTCGATTTTACGAGTGTCAAACAAACAACAAAGTCAGCACCCACACATACTCATATGGATCAGAAAATCTTGTTGCCACCCAACCTTGCAACAGAGTCAGAAGTGAGACGTCCTGTGTGAAAACAGGAAGGAATGCCTGACCAATCAACTCTCCACAGAAGGCACCATCACTTCCTGATTCCTAATTCCCCATTCTTGCACCCACTCATCATTACAAATAAGATACAAGCTAACAGCTGGAGTTTCGCAAATGTTGAAAGCGACCTTAGTACATTTATTAGCTGGAGAATGAAAATAAAATCAGTAAAGCCAAACAGAGTAGATTGCTTAGTTTCTGCAGTTATGCTCTGAGCCCTTGTGCCTTATCTGACTCAGAATCCCTGTAACTGTTGAAGGTATGTTTTTATAAAGAGCGCTAAATGTCCGTTTATGTGTGTGTGTAGATATATATATACACATATATTTACATATACATATATATGTGTGTGTGTGTGTGTGTGTGTGTGTGTGTGTTTTGTCTGTTGCAGTGACAGGCCGAAAATAAGGCAGGAAGGGTGTGTGCATTGAGTGGTTTCCTCTTGAGAGCTTGGCTGATCAGCACGAGCAGAGGGTGTGAAGGGTGTGTTCTCATTGGGTTTTTGTGGTAGCAGTTGTGCTACCAGTATCAGTTGTCTGAATAATAACGCTATTCTGCTGTGAAGCTGTGAAGCAGAAAAAGAAAAAAAAAAAAGAAGAGAAAGAAAACACTTGCGCAGTGGTGGTTAAGAGCTGTTGAGCCTGCACTCGCCTTCCTGTGGCCCCGAGCTTGAGAACCTGCCTGATTGCAGCTTGTCCATGTGACTCAGTTTCCGTTGCCTGCCTACTTCCGTGAATAGTAAAGAAGGGGCATCTGTGCTTCAGTCAGTGCAGGGGAGAGCAGCTGAACTTGACACACATGTGAACGCACTCTGCAACAGCGAATCAACCAGCGATATGGTCAGGGGAGCAACCGTCAGTGGCTTGGCAAATCCACACCTAACCACCAGTGTAAGTAAATGAACTCTGTATTGCACGGTGTTCTGCTGCATGAAGCAAAGCGCATCGCCTAAATGAGGAATTCCAAATTTAAGGTCATTTTGCAGTCGGTGCATTTGAGCAAGATACTTTAACGATCATCTGTTTTTGAATACGCTCCATTTTCTGAGTGTTATGTGTGCATACACCAGCGCACCGCTTTGACAAACGAATGTGAGCGCAGCATAAAAGCTTTCAGACCATGTTTGAGTCACTTAGATGTTGCCTGATGAATGTAAACATATAGTGCGCATAAATGCAAGCGCAAAGTAAGTGTGTGTGTCTTTTTAACACAGTGCACGGTCTTATTAATAAAAAAAGATAGGCTGCATCAGATAGAGAAAGCAAGATTCTGCAAAGATATGTTCTTCCATGAGCTTAACTTCTTCCCCAGGAACATAGTTTAGAAATCATAATGAAAGCGGTGGCACAGTTACTCAATGTGAGCTACACAGATGCAAAATAAAAAATAAATAAAAATGGTAATAAATCGGTTAGACAAATAAAGAAACATAAAAAATGTTCAAGAAAACCTTTGTGTTCTTTAGAAACCATGCTTGCGTTATAATGGATAGGCCAACAACACATGCAAGCCAAAAAGAAACGCACGGCCTCATCATGCAGTGAGTCACGCAGTGGTCTGATTTGAAATCTGGGAAATTTTTGCAAAATGTACACAGCAGATGTTTTCAGGATAAAATACGCCATCACCTCCAACATCTGGAGACAGACTGTAAGTCAAAAATTAAAAATCTGAGTTATTCACATATAATAAAAATGAAACCGAGTACATGACGTTGACGTAAACTCTGTAAGGATTATATTACTGTACTTACTATTTACAGAAATTTTCATTTAGATATGAGTAGATTGTAAAAAATGATGAGCTCGACTCTCACCTGAGACAGTCAAATATAGTCTTATAGACTTTTACACTATCAAAGCTTTTTAAATAATTGTGAAAATGAATCTCGGCTATTAAAGTTGAATTTGTAAACTCCCCGTCTGCTCTCTGACCTTCTGTCTGCTTCAGCATTTTAATGTCAAGCTGCTTTCGTCCATTTTCAGACACAAATATTCATTTTAAGACAAAGTTTATAAAGATACATTTTTCATACAAGGTTTTTCACCATATACAAATAGTAATAACTATAGTTTAAAACAGAGGAAGATCACAGCTCATTGTCAGGCCTATATCGAACAACCAGCTCCTGCTCACTTCAGCAAAGGGGAAAAAATCTAAAAGTATGTGACACAAACAGGCTCACACATTTCTTCTTCTTCTGTGTTCTCAACAGTAAGGATGAGAAAATGCCAGTCCACAGGCTCACACCCATCATTCTCTGCTTGTTGCACATGTGGAGAACGCTGACGCCAGTCTCGAGTCATCCGCAGCACCGTCGATGTCAGTTGGTAAGACGCTCTTCTTTCATTTAGCTTTTCCCGAGCAAGTTTCAGGAATATTGAGGAAATTTCACAATGTATCACATGGAAAAGGCCAAACGATTTCATGTTTGGCTTAGTTAAAACTAAAAAGTGACTTTGGTAAGACAACTACAAAGCTAAAATTTCTTAAAAAAAAAGTTATTCCTAAGGCACTCAAACATAAATGTGCAAACAAGAAAAGCATCAAGTAATGATACTGAAATATGGAAAGTTCTGTATTATTACCAAAGATCCAGTCCCTAATAGGACCCACCTTCTAAAAGCACACTGTATATGTGGTTTATAACTTTAGTTAGATCAAAATCCATCCAGATTAAATCCATTGGCACATTCCTACACTGTATTAATGATTTAATGACTTTTCAATAAGCCACAAAAAGTCTAAACTTGTGAATATTAATATCTGATGCAGGGTTTTGGAAGCGGATGTCGATTATGAGAAAGAAATTAAATCTCTCTTGTTGAGTGTTTATCAGTCATATAAATTAATATAAATATGAATGATTCTAGAAATGAAACATCTAAAGCAATAAAACCAATAAAACTCCTAGAGGGGAAAAATGATAAGTTATTTGAACTGAAAACTTCCATTTTTTTTTTAAAGCCGTATCGCCAGAAAGTATTTTTAGAGTGGTCCAGTGACTCAGAATGCTAATGGAAAAGTGATCTGTCAAGGAAATAATGAAGTTTTGGTAAGCTGTGGTATGACCTACCAGAATAAGAAACTACAGCCCACCATGTTTTTCTGTGAGCCTGTACAGTGGGTAACAGTACTTTCAGTTAAATCCCAAAACACAGGAAGGCTAAAATGCTTCCACTAACAGTAAGACGCTAATGTACTGCAGGCAATGCTCATTAGCTTAGTTTAGCATGCTAGCATAGTTTACAAATAACCACACGAGAAGTAATTTAAGAGGGTAATCTTCCCACAATAAAATTTTTTAAGTGCACATGGATATTATTCATGACGATCTTAAAATGTATCTGCTGTGCAAGAAAGAAATCCAGCTTCTGCCAGAATTTTAAAAAGCCGAAACACTGCAAAGTGGCAACCAGTATGCAAGTGTTAAATCATGTGCTTTTTTACCTCCTCTGCAGATACAACAAACGGCTTGCTGCAATAATGGTCAGCTCACATCTGTGCCTGAAGGACTTCCAGAAAACATCGAAGAGCTTCAGCTCAACTACAACCTCTTTGAAACACTACAGAATGCCTCTCTTCTCAGTTACCCTTCACTAACCGCCCTGAGCTTAGCTTGCAACAATTTGAGTAAAATAGAATCGAACACTTTTCAAGACTCAAAACTTTTAAAAAGCCTCAATCTAGCAAACAACAGTCTTTATAACAGCTACGAAGAAACCAGCCTTGCATTAAGAAAGCTATCAGGTCTTATAGCGCTAGATCTTTCTGAGAATAAGCTTACAGATGAAATGGCTGACTTGCTTCTTCATAATCTTACGTCACTAGAGTACCTCAATCTTTCTGGGAATCTTTTGTTGAGAGTGGATGAGGCCTCATTCAGGGATCTGCACCAGCTTAAAGAACTTGACCTACAAAGGAATTTGATTTTTGAGATTGATAATGCTTTTGACAGCAGTCCAAAGCTACAGCGACTCAACTTGGCCTTTAACTATCTGCCCTGTCTCACTGACTTCCACATGATTCAGCTGGAGGTCCTCAATGTCAGCCACAACTTCATTGAGTGGTTCATCTCAAGGCAAGACCTCAACGACACTTTCCAGCTAGAGACTCTCGATTTATCAGACAACAAACTCCTTTTCTTTCCTTTCCTGCCCAGCCAGAGTAATTTAAGGTACCTTTACTTGTCTCACAACGCCATTAAATTCTACGAACACTTAGCAGACAACGATATGTTCCCAAACTCAACAAAAACTGTGGAATTCTACAACTTTAACAAGGACATCAATAATGTGACCGCTCAGTTGTGGGACGAAAACCTTCACGGTGATATATCCTCTCTAGAGACTTTAGATCTGATAGGGAACTCTGTGGAGTATTTCCCTAAAGGATTCATCCAGAAAATGCCCACCCTGTCTAGACTTCAAATGCACACAAACTGCCTGAGAACCTTAAATCTAACATCTGAGCAGTTCTCTCGTAGCTTGTATGAGCTGGATGTTAGCAACAATGAACTAAGCCAGATCTCAGCGGATAAAGCTACTCTGACCACTCTTGGCAATTTGACATACTTTAACCTGAGCCTGAATGGTCTTAAGTGGGTACCCATGGGATTATTTTCCTCACTGCAAAGCATCCGGTCGGTGGATCTCAGCTACAACAACATTGACATTTGCCTTTCTGAGGAAGCTGAGATCAGTATGCACACTAATTCAACTTGCATGAATTGGAAGAATGTTATGTCCCTGAGACAGCTTTACCTTAAAGGATGCAACCTTAAAATAATTCCAAACACTGCATTTGCGGGGTTGTCGCTAACGCACTTGGAGCTATCCGATAACCCCGGAGTAACCATCCATCAATCAATACAAAGTCTTAGCACAACATTACAGCATCTAGGTTTAGGGAACACTCACATACAAGACATTGACTTCTCCCATTTCCAGAGTCTGAAGTCTTTAAACATTTCAAAGAACTTTCTGCTACATCTTCCCCATTCACTTCAAAACCTCAACCTGAAAGTACTTGATCTGAGGGACAACAGACTTTCTACCATCCCCTCTGGTCAGGCTAATGCATTAGCCCCAAAGCTGCAGACTATTTTCCTCACAGGAAATCAATTCAACTGTTGCCAGACCGAATGGTTCAGGACATTTGAAGCAACAAACACCATCCACATGGTCGAACAGTCAGCCATCACATGCAAGGATCTCTTCCTAAGGACACACAGAGTGGAGAATCCACAGTCGTTTTTGTGCTTTGATGACGGGGAGTCGATCTTTTGGTACATTCTGCTGTTTGTCCCCGTCTTTCTTTTTTTCACAGGAGTCTCTATCATTGTTCTCCTCACCTTTAAGCCCACACTGCTACAAAAGTCCATCAAAAAGAAGTGTTTGAAGCCAACGTCTTACTGATGTCACCATAACTGTATTTTGTCCAGTACATTATTTAGAAATGTAGCCGAATACATATCTGAAATAAATACATTTACCGAAAAGGTGTGTGAGTATATGAAGTATCTAAAAAAGAAAAAGGTCAATTGTTGTTTTTTTTAGATTGCTCGGTTCAGTGAAGTGTGGTTTAAAACAAGGCCCTCATCCTGATAACCCAATGTAAAAAATGTGGCTGCGCTCTGGGACTTGACTTGGTGAGTGTGTGAGCGTGTGTGGGCGTATATGTGTATGTGTGTTTGTATGTGAAGATATGCAGAAGTACTGTGATGCAAGCTGTTGCTATAAGCAGCAGAGGAAACATGAAATTTCCTGTTTTGCTAAGATGTGCAGCAACTGCCCAGTTTTGTATCTCAAAGAGGAGGGGTTTGAGGTTTCCTTCCTATCAGTGAGACCAAGAAGCATCATCAGTGTGAAATTCCAGTAAGTCAGGAAATGATTTGGACCCCCCCAAAAATGATTGATTCACACGACTGATTCGGTTTACTGTGCTGGGAACACGTACACACACGAACAAACACACACATGTACACACATGTACAAATGGGTGCACACAAACACACAAACATGCATACGCCTTCACAGACACACGCACATTCACACATATTTATATATATACGTGCAATGCATTTAACGCATTTTCTTCGAGTTTTATGTAAGTACTCAGGGGCGTAGGAGTGGGAAGGCTGGTAGATTACTGTGTAGCTGTACAGCGTGCTGGAGGCCTAACCAGAAAGTAACCAAAATACCGCTGTGGTGATGCTCAGGGTCATGGTGGTTGGAACGTAAGAAGAGAAACCAGAGTAAAGCCTTGTCAAAGCCTCGAAATGTTATTAATATTGACATATCTTCTACGATATGAAGTTGCCAGTAAATCAGTTGCAGAGAAACTGAATGAAGTTTTTATTTCCTTTGTTGTTCATTTGAATTTATGAAAACTGGTTTAAGATATGCAAAGCTTTAAGAACTGAAGTCGTTGATGAGAGATTCATTAATCGAAGGCTTTTCATTTGAATGTCATTAGGTCACAGATAATGGTTGGGAACAACGACTTGTCTTGGATTTCCAAACTAATTTCCACAGGTATCTGGAACTCAAAACTGACAGACACTTTAGGGATGCCAATTAAACCTACCTATATATTTCCCGTATAGCGGTGATGTATCACCTCCATGGAAGCAGGAAGTTGTCCTTCCTGCTTCCATGATGAAGTGGTTAAACTGGGCTGACAAAATGGCTTAAGGGCTGGATTACACTGAAAAATACATTTGAGGAAGGCACTTTGGCACTGGTTGCAGATTGCTGACCAAGAGGAACTTTATTTGATTACTCAGCTATAACAGTTTAAAAGTTAAAGGACAGGAAAAAAAGGGGGGTTAAAGGGGGCATTCACAAACGCAGCTAGACTCAGTTTTCTAAGACATGTTCAGACCACATATACAGTATATGAAATCAGGTTAGCCACAGGCATGTACCATACTACAAAGCTGCCAAACACGCATTCATGCAGCTGCATTTTCTTTGCAAAACAGCTCAGCTGTGGTTACGGGGTCCATAGTCGAGGTAAGTTGCCAAATGTACGTCACACGGGCAAGCAAGTGTGAATTAGTGAAAGTGCCGTGTGTTTATTTCTTCTCTCGTAGTCATAGTTTCTTGCAGATTAATCAATGGAAATGTGAAAAGAGAAGTGACACGTGACTGGATTGGTCTAATGCAGGTGTGCACACTGTCACATATAGGTATAGCATTTTGAGTTAAAGGCTTCACATCTTTAGCCTGTTTAGTATGCTAAACAAATAGCAAGCTGACTTTAGCATGTTTGGCGCGCTTTTAGCAAGTGTGCTAAACATATAGTATGCATATAGATTTGGGGGTTTTGGTTTTTAGATTTAGCAGGCCAACAGAAGCAGAGAAACTATTATAAGAGAGGGAATATCAAATAATCCTTTGATATTCTTCATTGTTGTTGAGTTGTTGCAGAAATAACACTGCAAAAAAAGTAAAAAAAAAACCAAAAAAACAAAACCAAGCAGTTCTTTCCAGTTGTTAACTGCCACACAAATCATGAAACAATTCAAATGTCACAGATAAGTTGAGCAAGTAAACAGTACAAACAGAATTTAAGCCAAAGTCATATAGATCAGTCTTCCCAGATGAATAATTCAATGTGCCCCATCAAAATTTGCTTCCCTATAACTGCTGCTTTAATTGCCTTTTACCACTTTTTGCACTCTTAATCTGAACTTGATACAGCTTGATACAATAGTTGATACAAAACTCTAGTACTTAATACTTTTAACACTTATCTGTGTTGGGCAAAGGTAATGTAAAATGTCCCATAATTGCATCATCAATAGGAATCGATAGGCACCAAGGTGGGATTTGTCTGTCTCTCTCTCCAAAGGCTGAACCAGCAATCAACATTCAAATAGAAAATTATCTGCCTCTTTATTAGGTACGCCTTGGCAGTACGGGGTTGCACCTCCTTTTGCCTCAAGGCTTTATTGCACAGATTCAACAAAGTGCAGGAAAAGGTGATACCAAGCAAGATGATGATCTATGCTTACATGTTGTTTACAGCAATTCCAAACCTACTATCTGTACGTCTCAACAGACCAGGCAACATTTTTCCAGTCTTTTGTTTTCTAATTTTGCGAGAATTGTAGCCTCTGTTTTCTGTTCTCAGCAGAGCAGCACCAGCTGGGGTCATCTGCTTGTGTAACCCATCTGCTTCGAGGTTCACCGTGTTGTGCTTTCAGATAAGTTCTTCTTCATACAAGTAAGGAGTGATTAGTTGAGTTACTGTTGCAGTTTATCAATTCTACAACCCCTGATGTATCCATTAGAGGACGGATGTGTGTTAGAAGCTTTCTTTTAGCTAGTTTACCATTTGTATACCATTTTATTAACTCGTGACCAATTACAGTTATGTCTCTATCACATTTCATTTATATACAGGTTTCAAAGGTAATGCCCAGAGAAATTACCAGGATGCCCCGAGTGGCAAGACTTCCTTGGCAACTGACAGTAAGGTTGTTTTCAGGTCTTTGGTTAATTAAAACAATGAGCATTTGACCTGGTGTGGCACCAGAAGAAACCTTTAAGAATCACCATAGACATTTCCATTTTATCCAGAAAACAAAAATTTGCATCACATTTGACTGTAATCTATTCAGTATCTGCAGCTATTGTCACTCAAAGTCATAAACGTCAGCAGCGAAAGTAGATAAGATATAACCTTTGTACATATTTTTGCTCTGACACATCCAGGAGAGATCTCATGAAGGTTCGTGCACTTGACTTGCCCTTCTAATCTGTATGATTTAGCTGCTGCGTGGCAAAAACATGTGGCCAAGACGTTGCCATATCTGAACTGGCTTATTCAGCAGATGTACCAGATGAGCATCGGTACATTTCAGGTTATCACACTTCACATTTTCACCCTGATTTTTCCTGCGCCAACCTTTGCCGATAAAAACGGACAAATACGTGACTTTTTGCACTTCGAAAAACATTGTTGCCCCTATACAGGATATTGTCGAGGCATCTGTCAAAAAGATGAAACCGTCTGATGTCAAGCTGAGATCCACTGCTGAAATGGCAGATGTTAACAAGTGCTTTTAGTGCAGCATCTGAAAGTCAATAAGGACGGATGAAAGAGGAAATGCCTCTTCTCTGACAGGCTATCACTCATCTGATCATCTGCATGAAGTGTGTGGGTTATTTTTAGAAAGGCAACAATATGAATTGTGAAAGATCTGGAAAAACATAAATGCAGAGTTAGGGAGCACTGAGTGCTGCACAACCGACGAGTTAATGTAACTGCTGTGGTTTTACTGGGGCCAGTGAGTCACTGTCAGGCTGCTGCTTCATTTCAGAGTTCACATGATTCAACGGATCTTATTCTTACTGTCAGAAGATTTTCTCCTTCACCGTTTAAATAATTCGTGTTAACAATACACTCAAAAAACCCTTTCGGTAAGTGCTACTGAAGGCTGCTGAGGCCAAAGGGAAGCAGTTAATGTCTGAAGTTTCGCTGATGAGTGCATGCTGGAAAATGAAAATATTGCCCTTTGTATATTAATGTTGAGGCAACTTCTTAGTCAACAGGCAGTTTGCAAAATTCCACTTCCTCTTAACCCTTCCTGCTCCTCTGAAAGGCCAGGATGAGGCCCCTTTGTGCTGGACTTACTGTTGAGCTAGAAAAGAGCTTTCTTGATTATCTGGCTAACAGAAGCTAGAGACAACTTTACAGGCTCATTTAATGAAATTACTGTGACATGTTAAGGTCAAAAAAGGCAAAAACTACAACACAGATTAATGTACACAGACCAAGAGGATTTAGCTAACCCTTTAAATCATCTTCAGATAAAGATATTATGTCCAGCTGGGTCAGTTATTATCTGGGGATTTGTAGGTAGGTTTGTGGTCCACAGCTGCTAGCGCTGCAGCATGAGGCTCTTCTGGGAGATGTGGAAGTCACCGGAGAATAGGTCAGGAGAGAGCCCAAACACCGGGGTAAAGATAGGCTACTTTAATTTGAAAATATAGCATACTGAGAATCAGTGGGGTCAGTTTTACATTAACAAAATCTCTGCAGTGATCGAAGCAGCTGGCTCTAAAGTATAGTGGACATTATGAATTTATTTTAGTCCTCGGGTTCAACCTCTCCTCCCAGTTGTGGCCCAGTAACTGCCTTGTAAATACTGTTGCGGTAGCACGTGTTCAAACCAAAGAACGCTTTTGAAATAAGTCTTCCGATGTCTGAATTTTTACTTCAACAAAAATCTGTTTAGTATGTTCTTCTGCACATAAAAGGAGGAAGCAGTTGCTACAAATGTATCATCCAGCTGATTCGAGACTGTGTGTGTTCCCTGCTTGTCCTGCCCTCTGGTGGTTCCATCAGTGAACATGAACACTCGAGAGTGAGGGGAGCAAATTTACACGCATCCAGTCTCTAAACACTTTATTTTATGCATCTTATTGGGGGTTTTTCCTTCTTTTTACAACTGTGTCATCTTATCAGTTACATGCACAAAACAAAAAA